TAACATTAATTACAGATCCTAGATGTGGAGGTTTCCTAAAATGATGGTTCTGTCAAATCATCCATTGAAAAATGTTGGATTTTCCATAAAATAACACATCCAAACTTTGGGGTACCATGACGATGGACACCCCCATGTGATCGCAACTGCAAGCCAACTAAGGGCCTGACTCCGATGAGAGGCCAGACATGGCCAGACCAAACCGGGCCGAAAAATCATGTGGTAAACAATCCAAGTCAAAGCATCCACCAATTTTGGTTCTCCATTTGGGGGTCAAAGAGATGGTTTCGTTTTTGGATGACCAGAATATCATGGTCCAAAGAGGGAAGGCAACCAGTGAAACTTGCGATGAGCTGCTCAAAAAGCCGCACTTTGCGCACTTATTCCCTTAGAGTTTCTTGGGGATTTTGGGGGGATAATGGTAGTTTAGCCTCTAGTCAAACATGGCAATATATTATGGCAATGAAAAAAAACTTCCCCAATTTGTTCATAATTGTTCGTTGATCATAAACAATGGCCGGTTGGTGGTTTGGAACATGAATTTGATTACTTTCCATTCAGTTGGGAATGACTCATCATCCCAACTGACGAACTCACTCCATCATTTTTCAGAGGGGTAGGTAGGTAGGTAGGTATACCACCAACCAGTCTCATGGCTACATATCATGGTTAAAAACAAGGGACTTTTTCTGGTCTTTTTCATGGGATTTCCATGGGGGAATTGGTCGAAGAAATCATCGCTGAAGCCTTTTCTGGATTAGCTCACCTGAATGGACCGAATCATCCAAAAATCCGAAGCGGAGGAACCGGGCCCTGAGAGATTGGTGGTAAAAAAAGACTTACCCGGCCTGGTAATTTGTTACAAAAAGCTATGGAAAATGGTGATTTAGTTCGTGGATGTTCCCATTGAAAATGGTGATTCCTCTGGTAATTGAAGTTACAGTGTGCGAAATTGAATATGGCCCATTTATAGATGATTTTCCCATTAAAACTAATTAAAACCTCCATTTATAATGGATTTTCCATAGCTATGTTAAATAACCAGATGGTACTTGTGCTTAGTATCCACAATGGAGGTTGCTGGGATGATTATTGATAGTAGGGAATGGGGGAATGATCCACTGGCTAACTATCATGACAATAATCATCCCAGCAACCCCCAGCAACCCATCCATTCCCTACGTTTAGCAGTAAGAAAAAACATGGCTTTCCCATCGCTTTTCGGTGAAGATCTTCCCCTGCAGATCACATCGATCAGCTTATCCTCATGAAAGAGGTGCCGCTGACGGTCAAAATTCAGCCAGAAAAAATGGTGGATTTGGAGGGTTTCCTAAGTCATAGGGGAATCCCCAGTCTAAAATAGGAGTCGCTGAGTTGATGAAATATGAAATGTCGATCCGAGGATTGCTCAGAATTCACCGGGACCCCTAATCTTATATTTGATGCATACAATGAAAAACTCGCGCAAAACCCATGGTTTCATGGTTTCGGGTAGGTGTTCTCGGAATTCTGAATCCATTTAGTGCTTGTAGAGCTTCCAATTGGACACAGAACCCCCAACAGAAAGATTGATTTTCCAGGGTTTTATAGATGATGTTCATCTCATTTCATCTCACGATTTCAAAATATTTCAAGGTATCCAACTTGTCTATCCAAGTGATAGAAACACTGAAACAAGGGTCATGGAGTCATGATGGATTTACCGGGGATATGATGAGAAATATCGCCAACAGTAAATTCATGATGAGTTTGTCTCAAAATCGCGGGAAAACCCCAATATCTCATATTGTTAATGTGGAAAATGATGTTCAAAATGTCTCAACCATTGGCTGGTTTTTGGGGGGGTCACAAATTTTGCACGCTCCATTTCTCACTAAGTTGGAATTGAATTGCTTCCAGGGCTTCACTCATGTTAGCTGAGTCTGGCCCCAAGAAGAGTGTGCAACAAGAATAAACATTCTATGTCTAATTATGCATGATATGCATAGTGATAGCAATCATAACCATAATGATATTCAAAATGATCATAATTATAACAGCAATGATATTCAAAAGAACCTGTGGCAAACGAGAGCAAAATAAAGAAAAAAACACAATATTCATAGCGTATTATTGATAATGATAAGATCACATAACGTAATTAAAACTACAACATTAACATCATTCATAGTTATTAATAATGATAAGATTCTGATTGTTAAAACATATTAAACATCAGTATCAATCACCATTAACATATAGTCAGTATCATTACCAGTTGGTTTATCAATATCATTCAGAATATCATGTTCAAACATCCATAAATATTTAATTATTAATATCATCATAGTGTCATTCATGATTATATTGATTATCCAATGTGTCCCTAACATAACATTATATAATATGTCATATCGTTAATATATTGTTAATATATCATGAACATGTATAATTCATAATATCATTCATAAGACCATTAAAATATGTCATCTGGTTGGTGGTTTGGAACATGTTTTACTTTTCCATATATTGGGAATAGTAACCCCAACTGACTTTCATACCTTTCAGAGGGGTGGCTCAACCACCAATCAGATATAAATCATTCAAAATATCAATCCCAGATCTTCGACCTTTCATCACTATCTGATCATAATTATCCTAGATCTATCGAAATCTCATAGATCATCCCTTTTTCATATACCCATATGTTCAATCCCTATCAAATCCCTAGTGATGTCATCACTATCTCATTATCTATAATAGTATCCAATCACCATCCCTATCACAACCATAATAGTAATCCATTATCCCTAGTAAGTCCCTTGAAATCCTTACCTGGTTGGTGGTTTGGAACATGAATTTTAGTTGTCCATTCATAAGACCATTTATATATGTCATTATCATTATTTACAATGCCTTTGATTTCCCGATGACAGGTTCACAGCCTCCTTCCGCCTTGGTGGCCCAGCGGCAAAGCGTGGCACGTCCACTGATCCGCCGAGCACCGCGACCCACATGGGGGTTTGGTGCGGGAATCAAACGTGGCAATGGAAATAACATCTATACATGGCTGGTTGGTGGTTTGGAACATTTTTTATTTTTCCATATATTGGGAATAATCATCCCAACTGAGTAATATTTTTCAGAGGGGTTGAAACCACCAACCAGATGGGATATTGTCCATTGCCAGTCATTGCCATGTCCATTGTCTAATTAAATGGGGAATTGTCGTTTTTGAATGTTTTTTGGATATCCGGCTTTTGTTGGTTATTTGCACATCCCAAAATATCCAAAAAGAATCCACAATTTCCCCAGAAAATTGGAGAAAATCCCACAAAATCATACACATTCCATGATTTTGGGGTTGGTAATTGTCCTGGCTACTGGGAATTTGGGACATCACTTCGAAAGTATTTGTTGGAGATGAGATATATTTGTTGGGTGATGTAAAAACATTTTTGGACATTTACCAACCCCTGATCCCTCTACTTGGGTGATATGAATAGCAAACTCGGACCTTTGAAACGGGTTTGGTTCATCATGGTATAAAAAGAATACGCAGAAATATGGAGGTATCCTACAATGGGGGTTTGGCCCTTTATCGCTGGATGATTTATTTCAGGGAAAATCCAAAAATAACATGGATGATTTGGGGGTACCCTCTGGTAAACAAACAAAAAGCTATTGAACATGGCCCATTTATAGTTGATTTACGTATTGAAGATTGTGATTTTCCATAGATATGTAAACGTTTACCAGAGGGTAGCCTATTTTTAGGAAACCTCCAAAAATAGATGCACTCGAAAAATCAAAAAACACGTCGGACAACACAGTCTCGATTTACACATGTTCGAGCATTTTTCGAGCCGAGGTCAAGTCACTTCCTTTCGGAAAGTTTCTGGCTTTGCCCAATCAGCCTTAACCTGGCACATTTCGGCAGTTGATGTTGGAAGTTCGTGAGTAGGCCTCTGGTAATGACTAACATAGCTATGGAAAGATCCACCATTTTTAATGGGAAAATCCACTATTTCTATGGCCATTTTCAATAGCTATGATAGTTTACCAGAGAGTAGCTTCCGCAACTTGGGATGAATTCGTGTGCAGCAAATTCATTGCGTGCAGCTCCTGCAGACATGTGCAGAGCTAAGAATGTACAAGTAGTCCATCCGGCCGTGGGACGCCAAAACGCGTTTGCCACCGGACGATGTCTTTGAATCCAATTCCCTAAGGGAAGTGCAGCGACGAAAAAATGAAAGAATTATCATGCGCGTTTTGGAATGTGTTGAGTTCTTGAAAAATATGATCCCCCCAAAAAAATGGCATATATTAATTAAAATTATTAAAACCTTGTTAATAGATGTTTTAATAACAAATGTTGACGATTTTCCTGGTTTCATACCATGACCAGCTTTTTTGGGGGGGCCCAGGAAGCCACTTTTTACGACAACTCGCCCGTGAGGAATCCACCCAAATCCGGGCGATGACGTCGGTCATCGAGTCGCAGTACGAAAAGGAGATCAAGGCGCCACCGGCTGGTGACCAGGAACCGCCAGTTGTATCCAGTTGTATCGTAGCCAGATGCAATCTATGTTTAGTGGATGGTTTTTCCCTATGTTTTTGCTTGGTGAATGAAACTTGTTGAATTTTTTGGATTGCCAAGAACTATCGTGACTGATTTTTCATGGTACTTTTGCTCCCAGATATCCCCCGAAAGGTGATCACGGCAGCGGGTGAAGCCAACTACACCTTGATTACGAAGACGGCCAAGGTGGATCTCCCCTGGGAAAAGTCACCCTGGAATCGGAAACTGACCGAAACGATGGACCTATCCACCATCTTAATTATTGCTGTACGCCATTTATGACCTAGACCCATGGATTTTTGGGGGTTCAAAATTTTGGGGGAGAAAGTAAGAAATCAAAACCTCGCAAATCATTCTAGTATATTATAGAGGACTCAAGAATCGGATTCAACTTGATTAAAGTATGTTAAATTCTTTTTGTTGCTGGCTCTCAGTGGCCATTTTGGTTCCTGCCACCGACCAATCCGAGCCTTTGTGAAGCCACGAAAAACGATACACAAACCCGAGCCATGCTCGGAGCGTGGCCATGATCTTGAAGATTGGTCTCATTTTGGGGTCCGGAGCTCAGTGAAACGAAGATTTTGTCTGATCCACAAGGGAAATACCATCTGGTAATTTAACATAGCTATTGAAAATGGCCATTCATAGAGGATTTTCCCATGAAAAATGGTGATTTTCCATAGTTATGTTAGTTTACCAGAGTGTACCATCTGGGTTTAATATAGTTGAATAGTGGATTTTCCCAGCTACATAGCATGGTGACTTTCCATAGTTAAGTTAATTTGGAGGATTTGGTGGATTTGGAGGGTTTTCCTAGCCTCTGGTAATTTGTCACGTAACTATTGATAGTCACAATGCTATGTAGCTGGGTAAATCAACTATTTCGACTGGGCCATGTTCAATAGTCATGTTAGTTTACCAGAGGGTACTAGGGGTTTAATATAGTAATATAGTTTAATCATCCGTTATCCAACAAAAGGGAACGACTGAACCGTGCAAAATCGTCAGTTTCATGGTGTTAAAGATTGTTAAATGATGAACCTGAAGCACTATGGTGGGATGACAATACCATGCAATCGCCATCTTTGATTTTCCAAAATGACATTCCGATCCATTAAAATGAAATATATGAAATCTCATGATATGCCAGTATCATTAAATCCCATCATCAGTATCATTAGAGGGATTAAATCCATCTATCAAAAATTCAATGGTAATGATATCATTATCATTTTATATCATGCCATACCAAAAATCCCATCATCAGATCCCATCATCAGCTATCCATTGATCCCATCGAAACTGATACAAAAATGTGGAGGGCGGGCCAGACGAGGCACCGGAGGTCATATGAAATACCAATATTTAAATGTAGTTACCGTATTATATATATATATCCATATATATATATATCCATATATATATATATCCATATATATATATATCCATATATATATATATCCATATATATATATATCCCATGAAACTTCTACCAAGATTCTTGATATCTTGATATTTAAAGCTCCATTTTCGCCACAAATCGCTTGGTTTCGCTGGCAAAATTCGACACCAGGCTTCACTCAATCCTCGCAGTGTGCGTGTGCAGTGGAGTTCTAGACGTCGATTTGGAGTTGCTGGCGCTGCTGCTGGGAAGTCAGCTGCCTTTTGCAGCACAGCTGCTGCACAAGGCGGCCTTTGATGTGTCAGCTGATGGGGGCAGCCCATGGAGGTTTATGAAGGTTTAATCCTCAACAAACAGGAATATAATGGGGATATAGCCTCTGGTAAATTAACAGTTGGATCCTGAAAATAGCCTAGTTTTAATGGTTTCACCAATCTTCCAACCCCGTTTTCTACCAGGGTCTATGTTAATTCAATGGGGATATAATACATTAAAAAATGGGAATATCGTAGGATTTTTCATGGGAAACACAAATGGAAAATCCACGAAGAACAAATGGATTTTTGATGGGTTTTACAATGGATATATAAATTATATGGCTTATGAGGATTTTTATCAATTTATTGTTTGGATTCAATGGATATAGCCTCTGTCATCAAAAGTTATATTAAAATTGAATAGGGATTTACCCTCTGGTAAACTAACATAGCTATTGAAAATGGCCCATTTATAGTGGATTTTCCCATTAAAAATGGTGATTTTCCATTGCTATGTTAGTTCACCAGAGGGTAACCATCAACACCATGCTATTTTCATAGGGATGGATCTCAATGGGAAAATGAAGAATGACTGGTTGGTGGTGACTGGAACCTGATTTTTATGACTTTCCATAGAATATATTGGGAATGACTCATCATGAATGTCAGAAAATCCCAAGTGACTTTCACTCACTCCATCATGAATTTCGGGTAGGGCTCAACCACCAGATGGGATAATCAAACATAGCTGGGAAATCCCACGGACTAAATCGAGGTTTCCAGCAAGCCACGTTTGATGACTGTTGGAGAATACCAGCAATCCGGAAGATCCCGGAAATATTGTTGGAAGCCCCATCAGAAAAACCCCGAAATCATGAACAGGTCCCAATTAGCTAGCTAGGTATTCAATATTGGGGAGGGATGAAAAACCAGCAATAATGGAGGCTATGCCAAGATGGAAGCCATGAAACTGTGTTTGTTGAAGTCGAAAATGGGCGATCTGCGATGTTTCAAACAGCAACTTACATGAAAATCTGTGAACTTGCGATGTGCCAACCTACAAAATTGTTCATGTCCGGTCATTGCCATGGCCGGTTTCAATTGCCCATTGCCATGTTTTTTTCCCAGCGTGAAGCATCAGCGTCATATTTGGTGGTCGGATTCCCCCAGGATTCAGTGCTTTTGCTGAAGACCTGGGCTTTCTGGCCTGCTGTAATCCTCTGTAGCTCGTCGAAAATCACGCACTGCGAAAACACTTTTCGGCGCGTTCCCCGAATCGTAAATGGGTCATACCATATGCCTTATATTATATATAGCTATATATATAAATATATATATATATGTTTGTGTGTGTATGTGTATCCTATTATATGGGTTATATATGGATTATAAACCACGGATCCTAAGTGGCACATCATTGTACAGCCAGGGAATCGGGGTTTTCTGGGAGATGATTGGATCATTCCCCCATTCCCTACGTTTAGCACCAGATAATAGGGATGTTATGGCTATATAATGGCTATCTGGTTGGTGGTTTGGAACATGATTTTTATGACTTTCCATTCAGTTGGGAATTTCATGATCCCAACTGACGAAGTCCATCATTTTTCAGAGGGGTGGGTAGGTTGAAACCACCAACCAGCTGTAAATCCTCATTCATAATCCCTATAAAATCATTATTAAATCACTATAAAATCCCATGAAATCCCTATAAATCTTGTAACATCTTGTAACTAATGGCTACATATCATGGTTAAAAAAAAAAATCATGTAACAGTGGACTTGTTCTGGTAGCCATGGTAAAATCAAGGGGGGTTGGCCATCTAGCTGGGACAAGCTGGGATTACCCTCTGGTAATTTGTTACATAACTGATGGGAAAATCACCATGCTATTCATGGGTAAATCAACTATTTCTATGGTCATTTTCAATAGTTTTTTTGTATGTTTAACAGAGGGATTTGTACTTTAATCCTTTAGTCTTTTGGTATCAATGGGAATATCTACGTTCACCAGCAAAGAATTTGTCATTTTTTGTAGGGTATCTAAGATTGGCAATGATAATTGGGATTGTATGAATGTGGAAAGTTGGGCAATGGTATAACATTAAAATACCCTTGGTCATTATACCATGAATCATCATGAATATCATAATAATTGGGATATCATGATCCTAGTTATTATCCCAGCTAATAGTCATTTTCAATAGTTTTTTGTATGTTTTTTTGTATATCATGATGATTATTTAATGTGAAGGAGCTTGGACCATGAGCTTGATTTTTTGAGGTATTCTGGTGGTGGCCATGCTCTGATGATCCACTTTTTGGGGAGATAACGTGAGTAGATCTGGAGATGTGTTTACCGAACCCTGCTATGTTACCAGAATGATGGGTGAAAATAGGCGGAATCATTCCCAAGCGGCTTAAAATTCAAGCTGCGGATCTTTTTTGTTGCATAGCATGATGGGAATTTTATGTGGATAATGGGATATACTGGGATATAATGGGAGATAATGGGATATAATGGGAGATAATGGGAGATAATGGGATATACTGGGATATAATGGGAGATAATGGGATATACTGGGATATAATGGGAGATAATGGGATATACAAGCAACAATTGGATCCAAATGAGTATTTTGGGATAGAATGGGTAATCCCAAAGACTCATCCATTTTTCCCATCTACTTTGTCGCCTTGACCGGATGATCCGCTGTTGATGTTGTGGGTACTACCTGAGATCATAGAACTGATGGGAGAATCCCCAATATGTTTAGTAATGGTTTACCTCTGGTAAACGTTTACATAACTATGGAAAATCACCATGCTATTCATGGGAAAAATCACTATTTCTATGGTGATTTCCCATCAGTTATGTAACAAATTACCAGAGGGTATAATCCATAGATCCATAGATCCATATGGATTATCCCGTTATATATCCCTATGGATTCTCCATATGTTTTTTGGTGCCATGTTCCATGTGTTTGTCAATCGCTTCGGATGGCTTCAACACAGGCTATGTGATGCGCTATGGCGATAGCACAGCTGAAGAGATCATTGGAGTGATAGCGGTGCATGCGGCTGGCGGCTGTGACTTGGAGGGACTTGCAACCCTTGGAGGCATCCAATGTGAAAATGCCATCCAATGTGAGTAAAACAATGTCAATTTTACCATCCACCAGTCAGCATTTTTATAGGTGGTATTCTAACCATAATGGGAATGCTAGACATACCACCTATAAAAATGGTGATGACTGGGGATGGTAAACATGACATTGTTTTACCAACCAGTTATGGCATTGTTTGCTCCAAATTGGCAAATTCTTGCGGGAAAATGATGAATCAGCGGATTTAGAGGTTCCCATAGAAACGCATATAGGAAGAGATAGGTCTCGGTCCCTAATATTGAATGCCCCATTGTGTCTCGAACATGTGTAAATCCTCTATGAAACCCATGGGTTTCTGGGGGGTGTTTTTTTTTGGTGAACGGGGATGGGATTGCCAATTATCCTTCAAGTCGGTCACTATTAACATTCTAGCAGGAGGACTGCAATATTTGTCCGGAGGTGAATATAAATATATGATTATGTACATACATATATATATATATTTATTTATTTATTTATTCATTTATTTATTTATCAGTATCAAGGGTGTGACCCATCACCAGTTGGGAATGAGTTCTCTTCAATGAAGTGAGATTTTATAAGTCGGACAAGAAACTCATGCCTTGGTGCGTGGTTCGGTTTATTAATTTTGGGGGATAATGTTAGTTTACCCTCTAGTAGTCAAACATTGCAAAAAAAAGGCAATGAAAAAAAAAACTTCCCCAATTTGTTCATAATTGTTCGGTGATCATAGACAATGGCTGGTTGGTGCTTTGGAACATGAATTTTATGACTTTCCATATATTGGGGATTTCATAATCCCACTTGACTAAGTCCATCATTTTTCAGAGGGGTAGGTAGGTATACCACCAACCAGATTGGGATTACCACATGATTCTAGCGATTAGGTCACAATATTAATGGCTGGTTCCTAAAATGCTGGTACCACCAAGTTTCATCCATATGTTTTTCGGATGTTCCGTGATTTTTTTACCATCCAATGCTCGCTTGGGGTAGGTGTCATTTTAGGAAACCTCCATATGTTCTGCCAATTACCCTCTGGTAAACTGACATAACTATGGAAAATCACCATTTTCAATGGGTAAATCCACTATAAATGGCCATTTTCAATAGCTACGTTAAATTACCAGATGGTACTATCACAACTATTTCATTCCAACAGAGATCTGGCAAGCCATCGAACGGAGTTACAACCTTGGGCCCAGCTGTGGGGAGTGGGCCCCCCATGACCAACTTGGGATCATAACCTGAGGCCATTTTAAGCAACAAGCATGTAAATACAGGTACCACAAAATTTGCACTGTAGTACTGTTTACTCTCTGGTAATCAATGAATTTTTTGCATATATTTATGGGATATCCATTAGATATCAATGGGAATACAATGTGATTTTATCAAACCTGACAGGCTGGAATTTATCCCCGAACCGGACAGTAGACCATCGAACTCAACAGTGGATTTTTTTCCCATGTTTTTCCCAGTGATTCTCCCTAATATGGAAACTCATAGAATGTCAACCCCGGATTTTGCTAAACCATGGTTTACCCTCTGGTAATTTAACATAGCTATTGAAAATGATCATTTATAGTTGATTTTCCTATTATAAATGGATATTTTCCATAGCTATGTTAGTTTACCAGAGGGTATTAATTAGGGGGTACTCCTCCAATAGTCATTTCATTTGATACTTTTTTATGGTACTCCCCCAATTCAACAGCCGTTTGGGGTTTATTAATCCAGGGTTGACATTACTGTAAATGGACGAAAGGTGTATAAGATAAGATGTTGATCGCAACAGTTCCAATCAATGCCCATCAACCTTTGTCCAATTTGTCCAATAAACATTTTGTGGATCTGAATTTCTGCTTGACACATTGACCACCAGGCGGCGGTGGATCGGGGGGGTTAGTATATATATATATAATTATATCTTCTGATTCTAGGTCATATCAGTTTTATCCCATAATATTCCCATATATCCAGCATATACCCTCTGGTCAATTTACAGTTCGACCCTGAAAACAATGAATTTCTGCCATTAAAACTCGTCTTCCAACCCCCATCTGCCAGGGCCGAACTGTTAATTTACTGGATGGTAACCCCCATATCCTAAACAAAGCTCCTGAACTCGGAGAACTCCTCGGAGTCTTCGATTCCTCAGGCAGTCTCGTGAACTTGGCCACGAGCCCTGCGGCCAAGCTTCCATGGATATGGCCGATGATGCTGCTAGCGTTGGTTATCTCTTGTCCCTTGGAATCTAACCATATATAGCTATGAATCAATGTCAATACCTATTAATACCATTTTTTGTGCGATGAACATCCATTTACCAGCTATTTTGGGCTTCACTAGGATACCAAGGTTTTGACTCATACCCATATATAGATTATGTAGATTATATATGCCATATAATGTCAACCCGGGATTTTGCTAAACCTCTAGGCTGTTTAATTGGGAGGGTACCATTTAAATATTAGATGAAATGACTATTGGAGGAGTACCCCCCTAATTAATAAACCATGGTTTATTAATCCGGGGTTGACATTAATATAACTATATAGTTATCCAAATATTATCTATGGGATATTCATATAATAACTGGAATCTATAATTAATAACCATAGGATTATATATATATATATATGAATATCCCATAGGTATCTAATATAGGATTAATCATTGGGTATATTCATGGGATAATGGTAAAATCATAGATCTTGGAGGACCAGGATTAACCATTGACTGATCTAGGTCAATCGACTGGATGGGTAGAAACTAATCCGAAATAGTCTTTTGGTATCAATGGGACTATCTACGTTCACCATATTTGTTTGCAGGGTATCTAAGATTGTCCCTTGGAATATCCAAAGGACACTTTCAGGAGGAGGAGAGGAACCAAAAAAGACTGGAAAATATGGAGGTGCTTCATCGGATTCATGGGATTTAAGCAAGAATCATGCTGATTTATATACCATCTGGTTATGACTAACAGTTCGCCATGGAAAATCCACCCATGTTTAAGTTCGGTAAACCATCTATTTCTAGGGGACATTTCCCATGGCAAACTGTTAGTCATAACCAGAGGGGAACTGATTTTATGGTGATTCCCAGGAAATAGCCTCTGTGATTGAAGAGTTTGCTATGGGAAATGGCCCAGTCGAAATCATTGATTTACCAATTTTCATAGCATGGTGATTTTCCCATCAGTTTTTGGTTAATGTTTACCAGAGGGTATCATGTAGTTCAATGATTTATGATGATCTACCTATCGGGAAAAAAAAAAAACGTGATGTTCCAGTTCGCTACGAAAAAAAAGTAAGCAGATCGTATGGGTTTTGGGGTATCTTCCGGAGAAGTTTTTCTCGATGGCACTGTCACCCGAACAATGGTGATACCCTCTGGTAAACTAACATAGCTATGGAAAATCACCATGTTTAATGGGTAAATCAACTATTTCTATGGCAATGTTCAATAGTTATGTTAAATTACAAGAGGGTAAACTATTGGTGACAACCAACTATCATGCCAGTTTGCAAGATGGTTTTATTCCCCACCTTTCCTACCTTTCCTGAACAGTAACCCCCCGTGGGACAGGTATAGGTCATCCTGTCTTGGGATAGGTCATCAGGGGTCTGTGCTGGGGATGTTGTTGCGGGTGAAAAACATTGTGTAACCGTTAGAAAATTGGATATAACCAACGATACTAAACAGCAAAAGGTTGAAAACGACCAATCAGACTGATGAACATCAGCCATTAGAGTTTTGGTTGAAAGGGCTATGATGATCTAATGATCTATCATGGTTTGCTTTGCTATTTTCCCAATGATAAATCCACGAATCGATAATACTTGTTTGGGATTCCGATCAGCAAATCCACGATGGATTGGTCTGAAAAGTATGGGTGAAAAAACAATCCACTAAGAAAAGCATGTTCCCCATAAAGATTACCATCATAAGGGGCATCCCACATTTTCAGACAAACCTACATAGCTTCAGGGAATAGATGAATGGGTACAAGTATACATGTTTTTTCGCATGTAATCAATCTTCACACGTAAGTGAAGCACTGACTCCTGTGTGGCTGGTCATTTTACCCCGCTTTCGAGTTTCAAGGATGTTGTTTTTAAACCCCGCCTGAGAGTGTGGTTCCACAATTGACCAACTCATTTTTTGCAGCGGATTGAGACTTAAACTGCATCCACCAGAACTAGTTTGTTTCCATGAAGGGAAGTCTTGCAAGAAAAGCCAATTGCTTACGTGAACAACAAAACTATGAGTCAAAAGCCTGGTACCTTGCTAAAGCCCAAAAGAGCAAATGGATGTTTATCCTCCGTTAAACATACAAAAAACTATGGAAAATCACCATTTTTCATAGGTAAATTAACCATTTCTATGGCCATGTTCAATAGGTGTTTGTATGTTTACCGGAGGGTATCCCAGCAAAATGATGATTTTTGGTGAATGGGTTTTAAGATCCATCCCCACATGCTCCCCAAGCTTTTTGGGAAGATGGCTTTGTTTGAACAAGGTGGATACCCCAACCTTATTGTCTGAGGTTGGTGGTTGGTTGGTATACACGGGATTTTTTTGGGGGGGGTTAGCCCTTTCTTAAACCAACAATCATGGTGATACAATGGTATATATATATGATTGGTGCTGACTGGAACCATGGAATTTTGAATGACTTTCCAGAAACACTTGGGAATGACTCATAATCCCAACTGACTTTCACTCACTCCATCATTTTTCAGAGGGGTAGGTAGGTATACCACCAACCAGATTATTATTAACCATCATTAACCATATAATAACCATCATCATTAACCACATATTAACCACATATCAGATGGGTAGGTATACCATCAACCAGTTGTTTACTTGGGAACATGATGTTCTAAACCAGTTTTTTGGGGTACCAGTTTTCTTCAGACCCAGTTGCATCGTCAGTCGTGCCGATGGGTATCCCCATCTTTTTTTGGACATATTCCCTTAACAAACCGCAGAACGTCCGAAGGGTAAATCCCAGTAAATCTGACCCAGTTGATGGCGGAAAAAATGGGATTTACTGGGATTTACTGGGATATCATGGTAAATTTCAGAGTAAATCTCACCCAGTTCATGGAAAAACCTCCTCTTTAACCTCCTTTCAGACAGAACCATCCCATTTTTCACGAGGTGCAGTGCTTACTTCCAGCCACCGGGACCTGTGGGACCGGGAGCTGTTGAATCTCTGTGCAGCTTGGCTGGTCACAACTGTGACTGTGCTCTTGGTCTCCGAGCTTCTGCGGTCTCATTTGGAGTGCCAGAAGGCCGGCATCGGCTCGGGGCAAAAAAAAGGTGTCATGGAGATTATTGAAGTTGGAAGTCTTATTGAAGTATAGTTATTATAGGTAACGGGCATGATTATGGTTATCTACTATATAATTATAATTATAGTTATAATAACTATAGTTATCTACCATTTAAAAACAACCAACGAACCCGAATGAAGTCCCATAAAACACGCGTGTGAAAGAAGTTATTTCAACAGTCTTGTACATATGACTGTACCAGTGTAGACTGTGGAGTGTGGAATGGTGTGAAGACAGTGGAGTGTCGAGTGGCGAATGTGAAGTGTAAAGTGTGTAGTGAAAAGTGTGGAGTGTGAATTGTAAAGTGTTGAGTGTAGAGTGTGGATTGCAGATGTGGTTTGTCAACTGTGCAGTGTAAAGTGTGGAGTTTTTTCGTGCGGAGTGTAGAATGTGGAGTGGAATGTGAAATGTTCGGTGGAAAGTGTGGAAGGTAGTTCGTGGGTTTAGGGTCGAGTAGTGGCAAGTTGCAACATCACCAGTCGTACCCCGCCTGCCACCATTGGTTCATCATTTTTTCGCTAGTACACCTCTGGTAATTTAACATAGCTATTGAAAATCACCATTTATAGTGAATTTTCCCATGAAAAATGGTGATGTTCATGTTCCATAGTTATGTTAGTCATTACCAGGCCGGGTATTTTTGGCCGTGAAACCTTGTGAAACCTGTCCGCTGTTGATCTGTATCACCAGTATCACCAGGAGCTGGAGAATCAGCGGGACTACAACCAGATCCTTCTTCAGGCCTATCAACCTTTTTCGCAGCTTGCAACGTGTTGCCTGCGAGGATGCCCGTCCCTCTTCAACGTGACCTCCGATTCTGAGTTGCAGATGAAGTTGATGAGCGTCACTTGGCGGGTGTCATTGGTTTCTGGTTTGAAAAGGGCCAAAAGTCGCATGATATCTCATTTATCTCAGTTATTTGTGGTGCCACCCATTCAATGGCCATTTCAGGAACCGATTTATTGGAGGTACCTACAATATATAAGGCCTATGTAAGGGAATATCCCCACAAAATATGGTCTTATATCGTACAGTATCTCCATTTTAGGATCCTGAAATTCCCATTAACCCATTGTTATAAATAGTTCAAATCATCTTCCTGTAATGTATCCTCATGTTTTGGATACTTTTCTCTAGGACAAAGCATTTTTGCAGCTATGTTCTCACATCATATTCCCCCCCGAAAAAGAAAAAAAAACATGAGTGATGTTTCACTCTGATACAAGAGATTCATCAACATCTATCAATCTATCCCATCATGTCATCCATTTTTAAGTGTTTGACAAAAATCCAAAAAAATGGCCTTTCATCCCCCTGTGTTTCAAAAATCCAAAAATGGCCCTTCCGAAAAACCGTCGTTTTTTGGGACGCTTCAAGGCCAACAATCCTGTGGTGGTCCGAAGTTCCGCTGAGTTCGATGCGCTTTTTGGGCGCCAGATGATGGGACTGAGCTTGGACAAAGCCTGGGTGGCACATCACCTGGGTCGTCAACAGTTGAAAGGTGCGGAGTTTTAGGGAACTCCATGGGGAATCCTGGGAGATCTACGAGATTTTGAGTGATTTTACAGATATTGATGGATCATGTTTGGTCATTTTAAGCCATGCTGAAGAGTTGTTTTTGTGAAAATTGATGTTCAGATGTCATTTTGAAGCCGTGTTTGAAAAGGGTTTAACCATGCTTAGCTATGCTTCGTCATTCGTCATTCGCCATGTTTTGCGTATGGTGAGGGCAACAAATAGCCATCACATGTGGACAGCGATGGCTGCAACGTCAGGAGAGTTGCCTACTACCATGGTGACTTTGGGGGGTGCTAACTATAGGGCCCAACGATGAACTCTGCCTTGACCCATCAACTGTTGTTCGTAGAATTTTGGATGTAACGGATGTACCCTCTGGTGAACTAACATAGCAATGGAAAATGGCCATTTATAGTGGATTTTCCCATTAAGAATGGTGATTTTCCATTGCTATGTTAGTTCACCAGAGGGTAACCACTAAACTGCTTTGTGGTTTCAAATGTCCAAAATTGACGAGAACAAAACAAGAACAATCAAGATTCGGAGATGCGACTGTAAATTTCGCTGACTTAAGCCAGCTTGCGCTGTTGCCAGGGTCGGATTTGACCAACAAAAATAGCCATTGAAGTACCAGAAAGTGGGAAACTCATGGGTTTACCACATGGTTTGGTTGATGAGGGAATCAGGAGTTAATCAAGTGAAGATGTTCATCATGATTGAAGGACTAAAGTGTTTCCTATTTCAAATATCCAACAAAATATCAGGGAAATGAAGCAACAACATGGGGGATAGTATCGAAAATGCTGAGATGATATGCTTCTTATTTCTATCTTTGTTGTTTTTCCACGTTTTGTTGAAGCCGCCCAGACAGCTGGAGGCATTTTTTGCCAAGACAAGCCGAAAGAGGAGCTGAACATCACCTTTGTAGACGCCGATGGAAACCTCTTTGAGTGTCGAGTCCCAAAGAGGCGCACAAAGGGCGCTGACCGGTTGGTCAAAAGCCTGGTAGCCCTAACATCAAAATAGCTGGTAAATGGATGTTCATCCCCCCTACAAATGGTATGGGTATGGATCCATAGCCGTATCTCAGAACTGATTGGAATGGAAAAGTTGCAGGAAACCCGGTTCATTTCAAAGCTTTGCGAGTTTCCCAAAGTTCTTTCCTTAGATCAATCCATTCAAAACACAGTGAAGTAAACAGAAAATCCATGTTTGGGAATACCCTCACTTGTAACTTGACATACCTATGAAATGTGGATGAAAATCCCTCATGTAGAATTGATTTACTATGATTTACCTATATCAAGTGGTCATTTCAGGAACCGATAAATTGGAGGTACCTGCCATATATAAGGCCTATTGTTTAGGCCTAAATTTCAGGGAATATCCCCACAAAATATAGCCTCATATGGTACTAACGTATCTCCATTTTAGGATCCTGAAATTCCCACTAACCCATTGTTATAAATGGTTCAAATCATCTTCCTGTAATGTATCCTCATGTGTTGGATACTTTTCTCCAGGACATCATATACTTTACCTATATTAAAATGGTAATTTCCCCATCCATATGAGTTCGCCCGAGGCTATCATAAATCTCTGGTGGCTACATGAACAACGTATGAATCGTGGGGAAAAAACAACAAGGGCCCCCGGAATTAGCATAGGAAAATTGGGGGACATCACTTATACCAGTAATATATCCTATCTGTTCTTGGTAAAGTATATGAGATATATATATATATATGTATCCCAACCAATATCCAATATCATTGTATATCTACCTATGCTTATATTTACATAATATATGTGTGTGTGTTTGTTTGTTTGTCTATCTAGCTATCTAGCTAGCTATCTATCTATCTATGGTCCCCCAATAAAAAAAGTCTGCCATTTTATAGGGAGTGTTGAACATGAGTTAAAAGACTGATTGTACCATATATATAGGACCATATATATATATATATACACATGTGTGTACTTTACACAGATTGATAATATCTTGGATCAATGTGGGCAATGCCATCAACCTGCCATGACTGGGGATGGTGATGACTGGGGACATTTTTGGTGCACGGTGCACGATCCAAAATGTGGGGCAAATCCCCATGATCCAGGGCAAATCCCATCAAAAGTCACCATTTTTTTTGTCAGCATTATATAGCCATTGTCTAGCCAATATATTCAATGGCCATTTCAGGAACCTGAATTGGAGGTACCTACCATATATTTTTGGCCTATTTTTTAGGCCTATGTAAGGGGATATACCCCCAAAATATGGCCTTATATGGTACAGTACCTCCATTTTAGGATCCTGAAATTCCCATTCATAATCACGGGTTTCAGACTATGACCGAGACCCTTCCCGGAGAACCCCACCAAGAGGCAGATGCTGGCGCACCTTTTCACTCCAAGTTGGGCTCGGTAAATTGAGCCAGTCAGTTGATTGGCCCTTGAGCCAAATTGCAACAGTCGGAGGACGTCTCAACGACTGTGAAAACTTTAAAAAAGACCTTAGTGGGGTTGCAGCGGTACTCTGTGCATGTTTCCCAACCGCACTCCCCCTTCCTGCTTGCAGGAATCCAGGTTCCCCAACACCAAAAACAACAATTTCAGGGGTGGCCACGTTTCCTCTGGGAACTCGCCCTTCCCCCAGCCAGAAGGGCGAAGACCCTCGTGTGCCATGGTCCCAGGCTGGTGTTGGTTCCCCCTTCATCCAAGGGTGGCGTGGAGTTCCACTTCGGGTTGACTCCAAAAATTGAAAAACTACAGCCCTAACTTCGTAGGTTTTTTGAATTCCCTCTCTCACCAGCGCCGCACTCGAAGAGCGCCCAACGGTGTTCTTTGGGTCCAGCAGCTGATGAGCTTTTCCCTGTATTGATCTTTTCCACCGGCAGCTAATGATCTTTTCCCTGGGTCTTGATGATCTTTTTCTCCAGCCACCGATGTACTTTTCCCGGCGATCTATCCTTTTTTAATTCTTCTTTTTCTTGTTCTTTTTCGGTTCCCACTTGCAATAGGATCCGGACTTCTTTTTCCTTTTGATCGCCTTGAGTTCCCATTGGTTGCGGAGCTATCCCTTTCGATGGTTTACCATGAAGTTGTATTTCATCTATCTTAACCACACTCCCCAAAAATTCCATCCCTCGAACTGCTACCTGATCCCTCGTTTCTGTGGGACCCGACCTTGGTACATCTTCAGCAGCTCGATGTTCTTTTCGATTGGACCTGGCAAGATCCAAGTCCCAATGTTTCTCTTGTCCATCACCCAGGATGGTCTTAGGTATGGGTTCTTCTTTTCCAGAACTGTGCAATTGGGTAACATGACCGTGGTGATCTTGTACCCGCAAAACTTTCAAAATTTGTGGATTTTCATCCCAAAAATGAACCCTTTTTGGTTTTGAGTTACCCCTTTTGGATCTATTCCCCCGTTTTAGGATACCCCTAGGTTCTTCTTCTACAGGGTGTTCAACTTGTCCAGGAATGTTCTTCTTCTCCAAAAACGGTAAGACCGACTCCAACTGGAACCGATCCTTGACCACGGATTCAATGACGCGATACGCATCAGCCAGTACTTGCACCAGCCTTCCAATGGCAGTGCTCAGGGCTTCATGCCGGAATTCGGCTAGCTCTGGATATTCTTTGGCCAGACCAACCACCTTTTTCACCACTGATACGCACCGACCAGCGATGACTCGGTAGTTGTCCCATGAGGAAGTCTCCTGGTCTGGTTCTTCTGGATGGTGTTCTTCTCCCAGAGGTTGTTCTTCGCGGCGGTTGGACCCTATTGTTGGTTCCTCATTTGGAACCCCGGAACCTTGGCGATTGACAAACCTCCAGAACCTTTCCCAGTTTGGCTTCACAGCGATGATCTTTGACAGCAAATCGGCCACAAGTTTTTTCCCCGGAAGGTCTTCATTCCGACCATGTTCACCTTCTTCCGGTTGATGTTCTTCAAGACGTGCAATCCCCTTCGTGGATCTTGCCCTTGAAGCGTGCAATTGTTGATCTTGTTTCGGATCCACACTTGGAAATTCGGCGTCCCAGTTTTGTTGATGTTCCAGGCTGATTTTTCTAACGATGAACTCCCCCGAGTTTGGACTTCCAACTTCTTTTGCAGGTGCCTCCCCCGAGCCTTGATCGTCTTGTCCTGAAACTTTTGAAACACAAGTTGAAACTTTTGAACAGACACCGGGCTCCCCCCCTGCTGGTTCATCAGCAGGCTCCTTTTTAAATCTGGAGATTTTGGTGGAAACTTTATTCGCTTCTTCCCGTGTGAAACGTCGGTCGTTCCTCTTTTCCGTGTCCATGCGCTCGATCTCGGTGATAAGAGCCAGGGCGTGATCCCTTCGGACCACTGGACATCCAGACCGCTCCCAGCATTTGATTTTTCCCAGTCTTGGGTGTTTCACCGCACATCCTGCACGGGACCATGTGATGGTGTATCCCAATTCCGCAAGTCCTCTGAGAGGAACTATAGGTTCCACCGGACCTTCCGATAGAAGTGTTCCATTCATGGGATTTTGGTAGAGCTGCGCGGCTCCGTGAGCTAACTCCACAGTGACCTGCGCTGCATTCTTGATCTCGTCGCTGGTACCCTGTCGTAGGGGGTGTGTTGCACCACCATCCAAGAGACCCGTGTCTTCAACTTCGGGATCCCCACCATTCCCCAACGACTTCAGCATTGGCCCCGCGATACCCTTCATGTGGTGGTTCACCTCTTGAACCGCTTGAGCGGCTCGTTCGGGTCCGGGATTGATAGAATTTTTTGGAGTGACCTTTACGGTTTTCGCTTCGCACGGTCCACATTCCGCTCTCTTACCAATGGTATTCGGCATGGGTCCAGTAATGCTTTTCAGGAGATGGTTCACTTCTTGAATCACTTCTTCATTTTCCGGAGTGATTTGCGCGGCAGTTTCCGCCTCATCCAATCCACCTTCAACGCTTTCCGGTGCACCCGCATCTCCTTCTCCTACTGACCCCCCTTTTGGTTCACGTGACTCACTTCTTTTCCCAGCAGCACACTCACGCTTGGAGTGCCCTTTTCCAGAACAGTTGAAACATCGGCCATCTTTGGAGTCCAAGACGGTGTGCACAAACCGGCATCGTTCTGCATATCGGCACCCCTTATCAGTCAACCAGTTGACGCACGCAGTCTTGTGGACCACATTAGCCGCATTAATTGGCAGCTCCGGTTTCTGCCCCCTTCTTCCGGTTGAAGAGCCAGCTGCATCATCTTGTTTTCCTTTTGAACCGCCCTTTGGTGGATTTTCAGATGGATCCGGTCCACTCATAGACTTCACCCCTACCACATTGTTGGGCTTAGTCGTTGGGCCCTGTATTGTGTTCCCCGGTTGACGGATAGCCATTTCACCAGCTTCAGCTTGAAGAAGTTCAGAAAACGTTCTGATCTCTTGCATTCCTGGCCGGAGATCGATGCCCAAATGCTGCCTCACCGAAGACAATCGGTAGGCCGCCTGAGCTCCCCCCAACCCGGCTAATGCATCACTCATTTTTGCGACCACTCCGGCCAAAACCAGAGGATCGGGTAAAACTAATTGAAGTTCTTCGGCACGAACTACCCACCTTCTCCATTTCCGGATGGAGTTGACCATCTCTGCAGCATCATTGGATGGGCCCTTCCAGTCCACCAACATTTGCAACAGAGAAGTTCTTTCCACTTGTCCTCCAGGCTGGAAGACGGTGTACAGCTTGAACATGACTTGACCCGCTGACATGTGTCTGTTCGCCACAAGGTCCTCGTAGATGTCCTTGGGGACGGCTTGAAGCAGCATACCCACCACCCGGTTCTCTGTGCGAGGCCACCCACGGGCCATATCAGGTATCACAGGCGCCATCCGGAGCCTCATAAGTGGATCCGCTTGCAACCAGTGATGGTAAGCATGTTCCACAGCAGTCATAACTACTCCCCACCATTGTGCTGAAGTGTAGCTCACATCCCCGATCATTTGTTGGACCACTGTCAGCCAGTCTCCAAAGTCCCAAGATGTTGCATGTCTGTCAAGCTTCGGCAGATCGACTGACCTTAGTGTTTCACCTGGTACTTCGCCCCCTGCCAGAGGTCCTGCTTGGACTACAGCTTGATGTTGTTGTTGTGGCGGTGCAGCTTGTCCTGGATTTCCTTGATGACCACCTGGGAGACCGGGATTTCCCTGATAACCACCTGGCGGACCAGGTGCTTGTCCGGGATTTCCATACTGCCCTGGCGGTGGACCCCCTGGCCAACCATAACCACCCATAGGTCCGGTGTTTCCTCCCGGAAATGCAAAAACCCCTTGAGGTCGATGATCTTGTCCTGCAGGTGCTCCTCCAACATGGACTTGAGGATTATACCATTGATTAGGTTGGTCACCGATGAAAAAGTGTTTTGTGTTTTCCGTGGCTCCCATGCAAGGAACTCCCATCGGTGGTCTTGACGCCGCTCTCTGCGGCATACCTCCCGGTGGTATTCCAATTAGCCACCCTTGATTCATATACACATCCATCGGCCGAAAACCTTGTTCGACCTTGGGCGCAGGAGGAACATTCCACAACTGACCTCCCGCCTGCATTTGAAGATCTTGATCATGGTGATGTTGAACTCCTGGAACTGGTTGATCTTGCACATGTTGTACCTGGGGTGGAACACCTTGAGGTGGCCCCACAGGAAAACCCTGCTCGACATTCTTCAGCTCCGGCGAGGCGGTTTGATAAGACCTCCCACTTGATTGAGAGCCCTTGTGACCTCCTCCTGCTTCTTGGACCCTTTCTAGGGCACGTCTCTCTTCCCGCGTGGCTAACCAATTTTCTCGATCTTGTTGGATCTCAGTCTTGCCCCGCTGAAGGACTTCCATTACATGTTGTTTCAACTCTTCAAACTTTTCTTTCTCCCTGGCGTCAGCCTGATCAATCAGGTCTTGCGACACTGCGGGATAAGTCGGCTCCTTCACTGGAGTTTGCGGGCTGCTCATTAGAGCTTCCACTCGCTTGGCAGCACTCCAGGGATTCATTTCTTCTACAGCCATAACCCCAGTTACCATCCCAGGATCCACAACTGCAGTTTCCCACTGAGGTGCCAGTCCCGTAGGTGGCACACCAGCACACATTGATTGCTGGGACATCCCAGCTGCTTGCAAACCCTGTGCCTCACCAGTTGCGGTATACACCACATATGCTCCCGCTGGCTGGCAGGCCACAGGTGGACTTGTTGGCGCCGCTGGCACCACTTGTTTGACACGTGCATCTTCAGGAGATTCAACAGGTGAACGTCCCGGTCGCTCCAAAAGAGCAATTGTTTCTACAACAGCAGCCGCACCTCCACCCACTTCAGTTGAGCTTTGGTGTTTTCCACCCTGTCTTTCTTCTCGATTACTCACAACAGGTGGTTCACGAGATCCCTCAGACATCCGGGCAATTGGTGTCTGCGCGATTGGTACTCCCGAAAGAGATAGACTATTCACCCCTGGGGTCAAACCAGACAACAAATCACCATTCCCTTTTCCTCGTACCACTACAAGTCCAGGAGGTTCTTCAGGCGGCAAGGACAATTTGTTCGCCCGCTCCAGCTCGGACCGCCACAACCTGCGCTAGGGCTCCACTTCCCCCAGCACCGGTCAGTGCCATTCCCCTTTCTCCAACTCCCTTTCCCGTCAGTGATCTTCGGGTCGAGTCTGATGATCTTGTGCATGTTTTTTCCCCATGTTCTTTTCCAGGTGTGTTCATCTCTTCCAGAAGCCGATCCAGCTTTTCATCTGCCGTTTCCGCGCGTTCTTCTTCAGCACGAGCAGCCGCCTGACCTTGATGTTCTTGTCGACGACGCTGAGTGAAGTCGCTGCTCGACATGGCTTCAGGGCAGCGTTGGGGTTGGGCTCATAACCCACGGGTTTCAGACTATGACCGAGACCCTTCCCGGAGAACCCCACCAAGAGGCAGATGCTGGCGCACCTTTTCACTCCAAGTTGGGCTCGGTAAATTGAGCCAGTCAGTTGATTGGCCCTTGAGCCAAATTGCAACAGTCGGAGGACGTCTCAACGACTGTGAAAACTTTAAAAAAGACCTTAGTGGGGTTGCAGCGGTACTCTGTGCATGTTTCCCAACCGCAATAATATATACCAAAGAAGTTAAGGAAACCCAGTCACCAGAGCCACATAAATAAGGTCGAGAGCACCTCCGAAGCTCCAGCTCCAGCGCAAGCACCGCGGGCATCGCGGGCACGAGAGCTGGTGGTGGGCTTTTGTTTCTGGACGGTGAGGCAAAAAAACATGGTGATGTATCATCATGTATCATTCGATTTTACATAAACTATAGTGAATATAAGATATTGTAAGGGTAATTATCATATTTGAATCACTAGTGATTATTATAGCCATCAAACTTGGATTCTCGATACCCTCTGGTAAACATACTATGACTTGACATACTATGCATTGTGTATATATATAATACATATTATTTGACAAGTGCGTGCTACATATATTAGTTGGTAGTCAGTAGAGATTATGTATAACTCGCATAACTGACATAAGATAATGCAGGATGGTGCCCCCCAGTGGTGTTTGTTGGTTTATAAACCCCATGAATACTATAGTTATATCTGCCATAAACCATAGTGAACTGGGAGTTATTTGCACCAACTTAGCTAACGAACTGGGGCACCACCTTGATTGGACAAAGGTTGATGGGCATTGATTGGAACTGTTGCGATCAACATCTTATCTTATACACCTTTCGTCCATTTACAGTAATGTCAACCCTGGATTTTGCTAAACCCCGTTTACGGCTGTTGAATTGGGGGAGTACCATAAAAAAGTATCAGATGAAATGACTATTTGATGGGTTTTCCAAAAATGTGGCTTCCCAAGTTCTCATCCGAGGGATGGGGGCCCTTTTCAAAGGGCCCAAAAAAAGTGGCAGCTATGTGGGATGCTGAAAATGACTGGGACCACATCACATATTCTACATATATTAATAATAGCCATATATATATATAGATGTTATACAACCTAGAAAAAGTTTAAAATGGAGTGGAAAAAAGTGGGGAAGGTTTGTTTTTTATTTTGTCGGATGTTTCTAGTTTGCAATGGATGGGCCAACACATGTGTACGCTTTCTTTTGCAGACCAATTCTTTGGTGGGATGAATATTCTAGCTAGTTTGATATTTTTAGTTTGATTTTGGGTGTGTATAAACTAACATAACTATGGAAAATCACCATTTTCAATGGGTAAATCCACTATTTCTATGGTCATTTTCAATAGCTATTTTGACATAACCAGAGGGTAATTGCCTTTGTTCAAACATGGGGTTACCCCCAACATCTACTGGTTTCTCATGATACGGACCTTTGGCATGATGTCACCTATCAAAAGTGCAATTTCGTTTATCATATGCTCTACCATTGTTGATCATCTGTTTCAATGGTTTGGTTTAGTTGGGAAAATCTGAACCGGAAACCATGGTTTTTAGATTTTTACCATGAAATATGGTGGTTTCCTGTGAATTTTCCCAAACAAACCAATCCATTGATTTTTTGTATAAGTCCCATCCCCCAATAGACCATCCCAGAGAGGGCCCCGGAAATGAATAGATCACTATGAGAGGTCATGGTTTCTTGGGAGAAAGGGATTTGTTTCAAGGATCCAACAAGAAAGGGCCGACCAGGAGTCAAAACCCTGGCACCCAGTTGATCTCAGATGGTACCCTAAAAATCCCTAAATCATAGATGGTTAATGGATGTGTGTTCCCCCAGTCATATCCAGTCATACGGTAATAATCCCCAAATGTCAGAGTTTCTGTGGTTCTGCGGTTTTACCCTCGATTTCCCGATTAAATCGCCCTCATTTTCTGTTTGTCTAGGTCCCCATGCTGCATGGTTACATGCATTCCCATTTCCAGCGGATGAATTCCCGCTTTTACCTCTGAAAGCTGCATGTTTGATGCTACCCTACCCTTCTACCCTTCCAGAGGTTCAAGGATGTTTAAGGCATCATTTACCATCATTTACCATCATGGCCCCCCAGATGAATGGTAGATATATGTAGATATCATGGGTTTCAATCCCTTCCCCCAATGGCATCCTTTGGGCCCAATCATCTTCCAAGCAAGCCCTCCAGGTTTGGTCGGTGCCAAACGGCGCCCTCGAACTCTTGACAACGAAGTCCAAATCATTACCCGAACGAAAAGCTTGCGCGGAAGCATTGTGCGACTCAGCAAATTGCCGAGGCCTCCTGGCGAACCGGAGCAAAATCGTGTGTGTTTTTGTTGGGAGATATTTGGATATACTCAATCATTCAGCATTTGAATGAAATTCCAACTTGGAGATATTTGGATACTAAATCCCTCCATATTAAATCCCATTTGATATGATCAAATCCCCGGAGATATTTGGAGCATTAAAAAATGCTGGGATTTTGGAGCGGATGGGTAGCCGCTTAGCCGCTGCCGAGGTCGCCGCGATCGAAGGTGTCCTCGTCGAGTCAGCAACCAGCTCCAGGCTCCTCCAAGTAGATCTCCGGTGAAGGCCAGGGCGCTTCCTTGATTGAGAAGGCCATGAGAGAATTGGTGATTACTAATGATAAATGATTATTAATGATTATTAATGATTATTAATGGTTATTAATGGTTATTAATGATTATTAATGATTATTAATGGTTATTAATGGTTATTAATGGTTATTAACGGTTATTAATGATTATTAATTGTTATTAATGGTTATTAATGGTTATTCATTGTTGTTAATGGTTATTAATTGTTATTAGTGGTTATTTATTGTTATTAATGGTTATTAATGATTATTAATTGTTATTAATGGTTATTAATGGTTATTAATGATTATTAATGGTTATTAATGGTTATTAATGGTTATTAACGGTTATTAATGATTATTAATTGTTATTAATGGTTATTAATGGTTATTCATTGTTGTTAATGGTTATTAATTGTTATTAGTGGTTATTTATTGTTATTAATGGTTATTAATGATTATTAATTGTTATTAATGGTTATTAATGGTTATTAATGATTATTAATGGTTATTAATGGTTATTAATGGTTATTAACGGTTATTAATGATTATTAATTGTTATTAATGGTTATTAATGGTTATTCATTGTTGTTAATGGTTATTAATTGTTATTAGTGGTTATTTATTGTTATTAATGGTTATTAATGATTATTAATTGTTATTAATGGTTATTAATGGTTATTAATGATTATTAATGGTTATTAATGGTTATTAATGGTTATTAACGGTTATTAATGATTATTAATTGTTATTAATGGTTATTAATGGTTATTCATTGTTGTTAATGGTTATTAATTGTTATTAGTGGTTATTTATTGTTATTAATGGTTATTAATGATTATTAATTGTTATTAATGGTTATTAATGGTTATTAATGATTATTAATGGTTATTAATGGTTATTAATGGTTATTGTTATTAATGATTATTAATTGTTATTAATGGTTATTAATGGTTATTCATTGTTATTAATGGTTATTCATTGTTATTAATGGTTATTTATTGTTATTAATGGCTATTAATTGTTATTAATGGTTATTAATGGTTATTAGTGGTTATTAGTTGTTATTAATGGCTATTAATTGTTATTAATGGTTATTAATGGTTATTTATTGTTATTTATTGTTATTAATTGTCATTAATGGCTATTAATTGTTATTAATGGTTATTAATGGTTATTAATGATTATTAATTGTTATTAATGGCTATTCTTGTTTTTAATGGTTATTAATGGTTATTAATGATGTTTAATGGTTATTAATGGTTGTTAATGGTTATTAAAGGTTACTAATTGTTATTAATGGTTATTAATGGTTATGAAAGGTTACTAATGGATATTAATGGTTATTAATGGTTATTAATGATTGTTAATTGTTATTAATGGCTATTAATTGTTATTAATGACTATTAATTGTTATTAATGGCTATTAATTGTTATTAATGGCTATTAATTGTTATTAATGGTTATTAATGGTTATTCATTGTTATTAATGGTTATTAATTGTAATTAATGGTTATTTATTGTTATTAATGATTATTAATGGTTATTAATGGTTATCAATGGTTATTAATGGTTATTAATGGTTATTACTGGTTAGTACTGGTTATTAATTGTTATTAATGGTTATTAATTGTTATTAATGGCTATTAATTGTTATTAATGGTTATTAATGGTTATTAATGATTATTAATTGTTATTAATGGCTATTATCTGTTTTTACTGGTTATTAATGGTTATTAATGATTATTAATGGTTATTAATGGCTATTAATTGTTATTAATGGCTATTAATTGTTATTAATGGTTATTAGTGGTTATTAATGGTTATGAAAGGTTACTAATGGTTATTAATGGTTATTAATGGGTATTAATTGTTATTAATGGCTATTAATTGTTATTAATGGTTATTAATTGTTATTAATGGTTATTAATTGTTATTAATGGCTATTAATTGTTATTAATTGTTATTAATGGTTGTTAATTGTTGTTAATTGTTATGAAAGGTTATTAATGGTTATTCATTGTTATTAATGGTTATTAACGGTTCTTAATGGTTATTAATTGTTTTTAATTTTTATAAATTGTTATTGATTGTTATTAATTGTTATTAATGGCTATTAATGGTTATGAATGGTTATTAATGGCTATTAATTATTATTAATTGCTATTAATGGTTATTAATGGTTATTAACTGTTATTAATTGTTATTAATGGTTATTAATGGTTATTAATTGTTATTAATGGCTATTAATTGTTATTAATGGTTATTAATGGTTATTAATTGTTATTAATTGTTATTACTGGTTATTAATGGTTATTAATTGTTATTAATGGCTATTAATGGCTATTAATGGTCATTCATAGTTACTAATCGTTATTAATGGTTATTAATTGTTATTGATTGTTATTAATGGTTATTAATGGTTATTAATTGTCAGCAATGGTTATTGATGGTTATTAATGGTTATTAATTGTTATTGATTGTTATTAGTGGTTATTAATGGTTATTAATTGTCAGCAATGGTTATTAATGGTTATTAATGGTTATTAATGACTATTAATGCTTATTAATGGTTATTCATGGTTATTAATGGTTATGAATGGTTTTTACTCGTTCTTACTTTATGATTTAATAATAACTCGTTTATAATTGACATTAATAATAACCATTGATGGGTATACCATTGATTTTTATCCGTCTTGAATGTAGAAAAGATTAAGTTTTCACTGCATAATTCCATGGAATTCTTCAGGTGTCCAATTTTGGATGGCTGTTGTGACCTCCATCAAGGGCTGTGGGCGCGTCATGCCTTCTGCCTTCCACCTTTGTGGCCATGCAACAGCATACCTGGGTTTGTTTAAGGTGATTTGTTATTTTCCCAATGGAAAATCCACCATACGCCTTAAGCAAATCCAAGCATAGAAGAGAACCTGCATACAGGTTCCGATGCCGCTTCCCACCCTCAGTGCAAACATACGCAGAGAAAACAAATGAAAGCTATGCAGAGAAAGTTTGATCTACATTGATTGGGGAAATGATTCAAATTTCATTCGCGCATGTTTGACATTGTCCTCCGTCAGTAAAGTCCCCACATGTTCTGGTCAGTCATGGAGGGGTAATCAAGCAGCATCCTGCATGTTTGGTCATTTTTTTCGAGTGGATGCGAAACGCCAATAGTTTGTTGGTCTGCGTAGCCAATGAAGAGTTTGCATTGAATGTGGCAATTATGCCTTTTGGGATGGTCAGGATGGTCGTCAACAAAAGGGCATCTGATGTTCATTGCTTCTGTCACCTGTGATGTTGCCACAGCCAAGCCAAGCTTGAGGGTCATATGGGTCATATTTCAAGCTGTGGACAGAGCGAAGTGATGAATGTCTTGCAAGCAGTGGTGCTTCTTCCGAGCACTTCTGGTGAAAAAGTTTGAAGGTCGACGGTCTCTCCATCACCGTTATCGACATGTTTCACGGGTCGACGGTCTCTCCATCACCGTTATCGACATGTTTCACGCTGCGGGGCTTAGCTGTCCCGCAAGGGTGCTTCGTCACAGCTGCATTGTACAGAACACTCTTCGGAGGATGGGTCAAACGTGGTCAAGCCATGTTGCGGACATGGATAAAATATGAACATCCACCTGCCATCGTGACATCCCATCTATTGTGATGTTCACCATGTTCACTAGGCCTAGCTTTTGATCCACAGCACTTGGATATTTCTCGCAAATCTCAACCTGCTAAGAGTCAGTCGAGTTGCTTGGGTGAAAAGCTGCGGCACGTTCCGGCATTTCTCCCAGTGGTTTTGCAGAAAAGCCGGAAAGATCCAGATGTTTTTCGGTATATCCATAGTTCCAAGGTGACTGGAGCCACCTTCAATGGATGCTGCCCCTAAAGATGAGCGAAGTTGATCCGTTCAGGCTTTCGCAAAGAAGTTGGTCCTGGACACAGAAGCAGAAGTCTTGCAGAAGATTCGGGTCCGGGCTGCAGCTTTTCCCGCTTCGGAAGTGGGGTTATCTACGTTCCCAAAAAATATACCTGGGCCTGAAAATGGGGTCCTCCCAAAAAAAATGATATTGCAATGGTGAAACTGATGATGTCCACGAAATCGGGACTGGGAAGCAGGAAAGTCTCAAACTCTTTGGTACGGTATATCAAGCATCATCGAAGGGGTTAGAGAGCCGCATTTCTAATGGGAGAAATAATAAGAATATGAGAATGGTATAACAATACCAACAGTCATGATAATGCCAATACTAAGAATCACAATGATGACAATCAGCTTTATGATGGTTGTACATTGTACTATCATATTAATTTCACTATATTAACAACAACAACAATTATGATGATAATGCTGAGAATAATAGCAGTAATGTTTTATCATGCTTAATCACGGTTAATGCTTAAGAATGATTATAGTAATTCCAAAACAGATAGAAGTTGGTGAACCAACCGTCTCCAATTTTTCGTACTGAAATTTCTTCTGTTCTGCATCCTTTCGGGGATTGCGAAAGCTGCCAGGAAGAGCTCAACTTGGTGAAAGGGAACTTGGTCACGTCTGCTTTGGCATGTTTTTTTGCTCTGGCGCAAACTGTGTGTGTGGAAAATCTGAAAGTGCTGGGCTGGTTGATGATGCTGTCATTCTCAACCCATGAGCAAAAACAACACTTTTTTGGTCAAGTGAGTCGTTGGGATCGTGCAACGAAATTGCTTTGGGGTTTTGAAGTTTGAACGAAGTTGCTGAGCTCATGGGGTTCACAATTCAATCACTGGTGATTCACTGGTTGCAGGTATCAGAAGTATGCTGCGTTGCTGTGAACTGAGAAATGTCGATCCAAAATCCAAAAAATCCTCAAGTCGGGGTCAACTGCCGGGGCAGCAAGATGCCCCATAGATTCCATAGATCAGCCCCATCAATTTATGCCCCCTAATTTTTCCAATCATATCCCATGACGGATCCATGGTGCTGGTATATTAATGCTAACATCACTGGGGTATATTGATGGGATCCATGGCACACCATATATGGCAGCACCATGAATCA